AAGAAAGCAATTAAAGACTGACAGCAGAATACATCAGACACTAGAAAGGCAATATGTCAATCAATGGAAGGGTAACTGATGTGATACAGCAATCTGTATACGGGGTAAAGTTGGGAGTTCATAACCCACTTGAATCAAACTGTGAAATATGATGTATTAAGAACTGTGTAATGTTTCGAACGACCAACAATAAAAAAAATGCACTGGCTTAAAAAGTAAGCATTTTTCATTGTCCACAAGCCTGCGGATCAGCCGATCTGGTCCAGGCTCAGTTCCTTGAAGCTCCTGGGTTTGGCCAGATGTGGCTGGTTGGAGCTAGCTGTTCTAGGATGACCTTGATCACATTTGATATTGGCTATCTGTTGCAGTGACATCAGATGTCACTGGGCCACAGTTTTCCTATCATCCAGTAGTTCCAGCCCACGGCTGTTCCCATGGCACAGCTGGGGCTCCAGAATCACACAAGGCTGCTTAGGATCTATGCTCAAAACTGGCACAATGGGACTTCCAGAGCCTTTCCCTTGGCCAAAGAAAGTCACAAACTAGCCCAAATTCAAGGAGTAAGGAAAGAGACTCTGTAGGGAGAACCTTCAAGTCACCTGCAAAGGAAGGACTTGAGCAGATTTTTAAAGTTAATCTATCACATGCAATGTCTTTTCTTACCTCTAATAATGCTAAATACCTAACCCCATTATTAATATCAGCCTATTAATTGAATATTACTTTATATTTTTTCCTTCAAATTCCAAGTTTATACAATATTTCTATTCTACTTAAAAACTGGACAAGAAAATTGTTTTTAATCCTGATAACTACCCTATTTCTATCTTTCATGTTATTATCCAAAAGTTTAATTGTATTATCTTAAGTTCAAAAGAGGTATGTGTGCTTGAGTGTGTGGATTTCACACAAAATACTTCATTGGTACCTAAACATTTCATCAGTTTCTTCTTACATTTTGCTTTCTTATTCTATGTTCATTTTTCTGTATACATGTATACCTATATATATTTATTCTTAAATTATAAATTTCAAATATATTATTTTATGAAAAAAAAATGTTAAGTTTCAGAATGAATCAACAGCACAATTCACAATTGCCAGATTATTGGTTCAGTGCAGGTGCCTGTCAACAGATAAATGAAAAAAGAAAAAAAGAAAACCTGGTATATACACACAATGGAGTATTACTCAGTCATAAGGAAGAATGAAATCATGGCATTTGCTGATAAATGGAAGGAAATGGAGAGCAACATGCTAAGTCAGACTCAGAAAACCAAGGGTTGCATGCCTTCTCTCATTTGCAGAAGCTAGGGCAAAATAAGGGGAAAAAGACAGGGGATCCCATGAAAATAGAAGGGAGATTATTATGGTTTCCATGTGAGGTGTCCCCCAAAAGTTCACATGTGAGACAATGCAAGAAGTTCCGAGGAGAAATGTTTGGGTTGTGAGTTTTAACACAATCAGTGAATCCCTTCCTGATGGGATTAACTGGGTAGTGACTGAAGTGGTGGGGTGTGGCTGCAGGGGGTGGAAGTTAGAGTGCGGCTTTGGAGTACTTATCTGTATCTGGCAAGCAAGCGAAGTCTCTCTCTCTCTCTCTCTCTCTCTCTCTCTCTCCTTTCTGATCACCCTGATGAGAGCTGCTTTCCTCCACCTCCCTCCCACGCTGATGTTCAGCCTCACCTTGAGCCCTGAGGAATGGAGCTGGTCTTCTATGGACTAAGACCTCTGAAACTGTGAGCCCTCAAATAAACTCTTCCTCCTCTATAATTGCTCTAGTTGGGTCCTTTAGTCACAGCATCGATAAAGCTGATTAAAACAGAGATCAAGGGAGGAGACGAAAGAAAAGGGAAGAGGGGCAAAATGAAATGGACCAAAATACACCATGTCCGTACATGAATGCCCCACAGTGAATTTCACCTTTGTGTATATACAAAGCACCAATTTAAAAGCCAATCAATAAATAGAAGGAAGACAGGAGAGAAGTGGGTTAAAGGGGAGGGAGGAAAAGAAGGAAAGAGGAAGTACTGGAAATTGAAATGGAGCAAACTATTTTTCCATGCATGTACAAATATCTCAAAATGAACCCCCTGTTATCTATAGCTATAATGCAATAATGAAAACATTTTTTAAAAAAGAAAAATTTTAATTCTTTAAAAAATCAGTAAAGGCTAGCACAGAACATAAGGCAATAAAGCAAAGATTAGGTGGAGTTAAGAGGGAAACGGAAGTAGGAGAAACACTTTTTAAAGCATCCTAGGTCCCACGCTCCTTGGCCACACCAGCCAGCCACCCCCTCAGGTGGGATAAGCTAGCCAGGCTCTGAGAGGCAAAGCTGGAGAAAGCAAAAGCAGAAAACTTCTCTCCCCACAGCCCTTCCCAGAATCATCTGGCATTTGGCAAAGGCGCTGCCTATGCCCTTTCAGTTGGGAGAAGCATTAAATGAGGGTCCAACTGAAAGAAAAGGCTCAAATTCATTTGTCACTAAGGTCTGAAGAAGCATCTCTGATGTCTTCAAAATCTCCATGAGAGGAATCACAGTTACAGGGAGAGTTCGTCCTTTGCTCCTTTGGTTTTGAGTTGTCGCCTCCATTTCTCTCCTTCCCATCTGCCCTTCAAATAAACCTACAGCGTAGATGCCACTCACAGGCTCCTCCTGCTAATGCTGTTAAGTAAAGCAGCCGGTGTGAATCTAACACCCCATCTCCCATGACACAGCATCATGATAAACTTGATCCTGTCCATTGTCCATATGCTCCCATCACCAGGCTGTGCTTATTTCCAGGGATAGTTCAGCTAACGCTCCAGAAACTGCACCGAGTGGGGGTTCTATGGGGGACCATGCCAGGGTGGACCGCAGGCTCTGCTCCCTACACCTGTGTTTATTCAGGAGGATGAATATGTCTTGAAGTTGCTAGGACTCAGGACTCCAGAAGACGGATGCCTTCCCCTGAAACCTTCATCAACAGCTAACAGGATGCTGCAAGACATTTTTAGAAACGAGAACATCCATTCTTAGCTAGGGTAGAGGCAAATGGACACATTCATGCACTACTGAAGGAGATGTAATTCCTCCTCTAGAAGACAGTCTGCTGGGATCTATTTTAAAATACACTTGCTTTTGCTCCCAGCATTTGCATTATTGTGAGAGAACCTAGTGTATAAGGACAGATTTGTATCAGGATATTTACTGCATGGTTATCAGGAGTGGAAATAACACTGGAAATAACTTCGATATTCATCAACAGGCAATTGATTGAAATACTATACCACCTGTATTGTGAATTAGTATATAGCTATTAACAACAAAGAGGCCTGTCTGTATTTTTTGGAGAAATGTCTATGTGTCATTAAAAGAAATGTATTAAATGGACAAAAGCAAGGAACAGTGTAATGTGTAGAATATCATCCCATTTTTTATCTAAAAAATCAAAACTTCATATGCACATGTATAAATACATGCATAAAACAAGAAATATACATATATATATGTAAAATCTTCACATATAGAACCTTTTAGCTTTTGTTAGTATAAAGAAGAGGGACTACAGGAAAACAGAGGAAATTATTCACTTTTTTATAACTTTTTGTTTCGTTAGAATTGTTGTGATCATGTATTTTTATAATGTAAAAAGGATGATAAAGTTTTTTTTAATTGAGGACAAAGTATTTGTCCTCAATTTGGATTCTGTAATATCAATAGATTAAATAATTCTTTGCTTCTCTTCATCTTTAAATTGAGATACATCATTAATCTGGCCATTCATTAAACCTCTAACGGGCCCCACACCCCTTCAATGCCTGACTTGTTTGAGGCTCCGAGTGCCAATCTATGGTGCTATCGCAGAGGCTGCCTTCATGGAACTTGGAGTATGCAGAGCGGGCAGGTACTACATAAGCCACACATAAACACACTGGGTCTACAGCTGTGAGAGAGAAGTGTGGGACAGGTTGGCAGAATGTCAGGGTGGCCATGGAAGTTGCTTGTGCCATGTGACCAAGGAAGCCACTCTGCAAGTAACAAGCAAGCAGAGACCCTTGCCGAGGGCTGGGATGAGGGATAGAAGAAGCATCTGCAGCAGGAGGAGTTGAATGGGTACCAGGGGCTAGAGGAAGGCTCTCCTGAGCCAAGGAAGGAGAGATGAGATGAAGTCAGGGAGCAGGGCTGAATACCACAAGCTCCATATTCCACAGGAAGGAGTTTGGACTGTGCTGTGGGTACCGGGAAAAGTGAATTCAGAGAGCTTCCATGAAGGGGGCTATGCTATAAGTAAACCCTGGAGTGACACCCCCCCGCCCCGCCCGCCGCCAGGGTGGAGATGTTTGAAGAAGTAAGTATGGTCTTATCTCAAAAGCACAGAGGAGGAAGCAACTGCCGGGCCTGGGAGAAACGGGAAATCTCCAGAGAGGGGACCATCGTGAGGCGTTCACAAGGGATCACAAGGCCAAGGCCAAGACAGGTGAAGACACACATCAGGAAGGAAAACCACAGACAGATGGAAGAGGCCACCACGACTTGGAAGCTAAAAGAAGAAGACTTCAGGGGAAACGATTTGCATTTTATTCAGCTGGAGAATAAGGCTCATGGCAAGAGGAAAATAGGGGCCCGAAGGCAGGCCGTGCAGATTCTGCAGCCTTTATGGACCATTCTCCTTTTTTTGAAATTTATCCTATGGGTCACATGATTTTTAAAAACAAAAATGTGTAGTGATCAGTTTTAATCATCACTAACCACATTTCAGTCCACCACTCCATGCACCTTCTGCTGAACCCCAACAGAGGAGGAGGCATACGACCCTGCCGTTTGAGTTGGATTTGCTGTCGTGTCACGAGTGCGTGTTTAGTTCTATGAGACGCTGACGGGTTTTCAAAGCACCATTTTTAGCTCCCACCAGCAAAGTTCTGGAGTTCTGTGGACTCCACGCCCTCACCAACACTGGATATTGTCCCCCTCCATGATTCCAGCGGCTCTGGGCGACATCTCAAAATTACCAACATTGAGCACCCTGGCGCGTTTATTGCCCATTCAGATTCTTCTTTTGGACAACATCTAGTCATGACTTTTGCACATTTAGTTGGAATTTTCATCTCTTTACTGTTGATGTGTGGGAGTTCTTGAGACATTCTGGATTCTTTTGTTTCTCATCCGATCTCATTCTAGGCAGAGAAATGAAAAAAAGAAAAAGAAAGAAAGAAAGAAACTTGACAGCAAATAATGAAGCTCGAGAAAATGCACAGACCATCTAGTCCACGTCAGCCACGTGGCTGGGCAGGTTCCATTTGTTACTTAACTTTGTCTCCCGGGGACCCTTGTGAATTAGTTGTCGATGATCTCCCTGAACAGATGGGAAAACTGAACCTCAGAGGGACTGAGAGACTCGGCTAAGGTCACTCAGCTAAGATGCAACAGAATCTGAGCCAGCTGTAACCCACACACTGACCTGTCCAGAGTTAGAAGGCTGCCTGTCCAGATGGACCTCAGCTCCCTCAAGATCCTGGGGTCACAGGGGCTCATATGACTTCTTTGGGCCCCTCCCTTAAAAAAGCCATTATCCCCTATTCCTGGCGTTCACTACAGGACATTAATCTGCTAATGGCTCCTTCAACTGAGGCACGCACCCAGCATCTTTCACCCAGGGACCACATCTCTGTGAGTACTGGCTTTCAAGGAGCTGCCGATCGATGCCCCTACCCCATCTGCAAATTCTCTGTAAAGGTTGCCTCCAGCGCGTAAGCCTGGCCATTAGCAGTAATGGGTATCTGACAGTCCGGAGAGGGAGTCAGCAGGCCTCGCCAGTGCTCCAAGTGCCCTGTGGGAGCCGGAAGGAAAAGCTTCAGCTTCCATGAGGTCCACACAGCATTGGAATTTCAGATGCAGAGACTCTCGGAGGAGAAAGAAGCCCTGGAGAATCTAATCCAGTCCTCCCCTCATGTCACAGAAAGAGAACTGATGACAAAGTCATTTTCTTACCACACAAATGTAACAATGTCATTCCGTGCTCAATGGCCCATCAGCTACAGTCCAGCAATAATAACAACAGCAGCAGCATTGTATTTCACTTAATGCAACCTGCTGTCAGTTATTCCTTGTGCCATTATTTTGTTTATCATTAAGAAAGAAAAAAAAATCTGCCAATCAAACTATGGCATCTAGCCCTGTGGGGCATCCCAATGGGTCACACCTTTATCTTGTTGATCTGAAATATTTTCATCTATTTTGAGGAATTTGATAACTTCTGTTGTAAAGCTTGGTGCTTGACAGGCAGCCCTTTTACATGTATTATATTAATGAAATGTAATATGATTTCATCTCTTAAGGCAGCTCCCTTCAAAGATATATAAGCATTTGGTTTTGCTTTCCAAAATGGGGAATCCTTACCCCACCAATGGAATATTTGCTTCACTAATTTCAAATCCACCTTCTACTGTTCTGTTTCCATACCTTCAATAGCTTTGGGATCCCATGCACAATCAGAGTGTATTCTTTTCAGATATTTTGAATGGGAACTAAATTTGACTTCTGTAGAGTCAACCGTGTAATTGAAGTCAGGCACAGACAGCTCTGCCCAACCTCACCGGCGTGGGCAGCATCACATCTGCTGCCTTCTTGGCAGAGATTGCCAAGTACCATCCACCATACATCACACCAAAGTTTTAAGATGCTAAGCTATAGAAAAAGAAAAATGTGCATCTTAGAATCAATGAAATACAAGAACAATAACCAGCACTTATTGAGCATTTACTACACACCACACATTTTTCCTGAGCCTTTCTCAAGTTGAATAAACTTCATTTTCGCCACAATTCTAAAAGGAAGGTGCTGTACTTCATAGGTAAGGTAAAGCCCAGAGACTCTGACAAGTTTTCCAAAGGTCATACAACCAGGAAATAGTAGAACTGGTCATGGAACCCAAGCAGTATTGTTCTTGAGGTCTCCTAGCCCTGTTCTGTTGAATCTATAATCTAAATTCCATGTCATTCTAGTCCAAGGACCTGAGTGTTGGGTCCTGTCTATTCTCTGCAGCCTTATCACACAACTCTTATCCTTTAACTTGGCGTTTCAGAGATGCATACTGTGCTGCCTCGGCCTTGCTGGTCTTTGCTCATGCCCTTTCCTCTCTCTGGATTCCTTCCTTCCATCAATTCCCCGGCCATCATCCCTCAGCTCTCAAGACTCTGCTCAGATGTCACCTGCCCCAAGAAACTTGCCAAGACAGCGGCTCTCAGGCCAGCTGCACTCAGTAGGGATTAGGTGCCTACTGTACTTCCATGATTGTTGACCCTCCCTTAGAGGATCACTTACACAGTGGGTTTTCTCTGTCCCATCCTGGGGCTGGTGGACAACCAGCATGCCCTGTTCAGAATCCTGGCCAACAATTGCTCTGTTTGGACAGACCCTGGTGCCATGTCAGGGCCTGTGGCTGCCAATCATTCAGTGGTGTTGGGTGGCACCATGGCATTCACCTGTCTGCGTCCTGCGTCCTCTCCCTCATGAGCACTCCACGTCCCCCCATGGAAGACCCCTGCACTTGGCACAGTGAGCAGAACAGCACACATTCGCAGAAGTGAATTCGATGGGAGCGTGCCCACTGTCACACAGCAACCAAACACAGAAGGAGCCTGCTCACCAGCCTTCGGTGGAAGGAAAGATCTTCAGGGGATCCTTCTTATCCCAGAAAGGACAGGCAGAGGGGAGGGAACAGTGACTGTGATGGGGAGCCCAGGCGAGGCACCAGGCCCTCTGCTCATTCCATAAATGCCAGAGCTAGAAAGCCCCTTCAGAGATTTGAGTCTACTGGTTCTAGGAGGAAGAAATCAAAGCCCAGGAGAGGTAGTTCCCAGCCTGGGTCCTCTAGTCAGTGAAGGCAGAGCTGGGAGGAACGGAAGCCCTCAGGCCCCACCACTTCTCCCTCCACTGCCTCCCCCAGGCCAGGACAGCTCATTACTGAGCTCTCTCAAGTTCAGAGGCAAGCGTCACAGCAGGTGGGTTCCTATAAGTAGACTAGGAATTATAAAAAGACCACTTTCCTCTTGGAAGATGTTCTTTGGCCAGGAATTTACTTTGCTACTTTTAGGAGCAAGACAAATGAATCAGACGGTTAAAAATGACTTTGAGCTTTTATGTATGAAGAAAGTGCTGATGAACCTTCTCAGGACAACTTTATCAGCTAATAATCACAAAACCCTGACAGCCATCAGCCATCCTTGCCCATCCCTGAAAAACAGACAAGGAATCTCGATCTGAAAGAGGAACCTTGAGACTTGGGACCAAACCAAACTGGCCAGGGACCAAGTACACCCAAAGCACTCAGAGCTTCCCAGCACCCAAATTTCTAACCAATTCCAGGAAAAAAAATGGAAAAACTCTGGATCTAAAAGAATACAACGAGTCAGGAAGGACAGGAGGGGTGGGGAGACCAAACACAAAACACTAGCATTGCTTCACCTCTGTTTTGTGTTGTACATTTTACACATTTTGTGGATTTAATCCTTCCAAGGGCTCTGGGAGCCACTGTGTCCATTTTCCAGGTGAGGACACTGAGGAATAAAGAACTAGAGTTTCTCACCCACATTCTCAGACCAGGTCAGCCAGGCTTAAAGACAGGAAACAGGCCAGGTGTGTTAAGTTGAGAAGGATCTAGTGGATCAGTCCTGACTAGGCATGAGGGGCTTTCAGGAGCGATGGACACATCCAAGTAGTGAACATTGGGAAGAAGGACTGTCTCTCCCATCACCAGCGTTTAGGTTTCCCCCTGCTGCTGGAGAATAAGGATTGGTACCCCAAATGCAGGTAGGTAATTCAGGAAGACACTGCCATTGCTATACCACCTCCAAAGTCCCCAGATAAGTAGCTATTTTTAAGAAAACACAGAGGCCGTTGTTGCAAAGAATCTCACATCTGCCCAAATCTCACCTCTGCCGTTGCTGCCAGCAAGAAAAGAAAAGGTGGCGGGG